CCTAATTTTGGGCAACCCCCACTTGTCGGACAGCAGACCGCAGGGCGAAACCTGGCCCTGTACTTGCTTCGGTTTTCCTACATCTTTCCCTTTCAGGGTTTAGGGTTTGTTCGTTGAACCCTAAGGAGTTATGAAAAACAGTAGTTTTGTAATAGGTTTCAAGGGAATCCAAAGCTAAAGGGACTATAGTTTCGCAGCGCTACATTTTCTTGGCATCGTTACTTTCCCGCTTTTTGTGCGAAGCCAGGCGGAGAGCAAAAACTGAAGTCCGTACAGTACGCCTTCCACCATGGTAAGGTTAATTCTGCAGGGACCCTGATTTTTGAGTATGGCTAGGAGGATGACCCAAGACAAGCTGACCTAGGAAGCCACCGCCGCCCTGCACGGCGCAAGCCAACGGTGTACAGGACACCCCGCTTTGTTGCAGTGCAACTAGATGTGAAGAAGCCTTCGCAGATAGTAGTGGGTTGATTCCCGAAATGACGTTGTTCAAAGTCCTGACAGATCTGTCGGATGCTACATAGAGGTGGTGAGGACTGGTCATCTCAAGACATGCGCGTGGGGCATTGCTACAGCCCCAACCTGCTTCAAGTGAGGGCACGAAAGGTTGACATTGTTTTTCACGGATGTGGCAGGCTTGGAGATCTGTACCTGTAAATGGGAGATGGCAAGTGGGCAAATCCTGGGTTTTCTGGCAGGCGGGCAGAGCAAATGCTCAGACTCTACGTAGTCAGGAGCAAAAATGCACCTGCATCATGGCTGTAAAGCTTGCTGTTGCCACATGCCTGTAGTAAAAGGCCAGCGCGAGGCCATTCAATCTAGGTCAGGTAGCTACAGCGCCAAAACGCATGCATACATACATACATACANNATACATACATACACACATACATATGATTACATATGTACAATTGTAAACAGTTATATCAATTGAGGCCATGACTTTTCACGGGCATATGACTCATATGCGCGGTAGTAGCTTCAATTTTTCCTCGCTGATAGTCTGAAGGCGGGTCTCGATTTCCCTGTCGATCAAAAAAGGTGAGTGGGGCGTCATTTTGACATGGGCGTATCAATACCCATGCATACATAAGTGCATATATACGTAACCATACATTCGCACACGTGCATATAGACCCTGAGCGCCCAGCACGTAGCGTAGTATGTAGGGTTTAGGAGGACCTCACAGTGGAGGGGCATTTGCGGCCTACCTGTGTACTACTCCGCAAGTTCCTCCTGAATATCTTCGGATTAGGTTCAGTATTGTTCATGCGGCGTTAGTGAAGGTTAGGGGGAAACTTTGGGGGCGGGGTAGCGTAGGGGTGGGGCCTGGGAGAATCCATGAATCCATGGATGAGACATCAGTTCAGAGACTCCACCCAGAAGTGTGGTCAGAGCCGCCGCCGGACAAGTGATGCTGTCGTGCAGCATCGTGCGTTCGTGGTTGAACCCATCTTGTAACTCAGAGCGCCCATCGCAGACGTACCAGCAGATAATAAAATTATCTCGGCTAGTATTACTAATTACTACTACTACTATTACTATTA